CACCGTTGAAACTTTACGAGGTTTGTCCAAGGCTTCCAGCGAGGGGCGTTAACAAGAGCAATAACGAATTCGTAACGATCACGCGAGCTCCGCGGCTTTTACGATCTCCTTACCTGTATCGTACGTTCGCGTACGAAATAAATAGAATAAAGAAAAATGGTAACGTTCGAGCATGGGCGAGGGGGTTTGAGAGAGAAGAAGGGGAATGGGGGATGTTCGGGAGAAAACGAATCGATGGTGCAGATAATCTGGCAAATATTTCTTCACGCGAGTGCACCGCGTGCAGAATCGTAATTATATCGGAATTATCGCGAACTCGCTCGCGCAAACAACAAACGAGCCTTTTACGAGCTTTTACGGAGCTTTAAATGGCATTTAAGATAACATGCAGGAATCGTGTCGAACGCCACAAAACTAACGGCGACCCACACCGTATTTATAATCCGATATAAGCTCTACGTCCATCAAAATCTTGTAGCTTTACGGTTGTAAGAAGGAAACGTTAATGGTGGAATTTTACCGGAGTTTAATAATATTATACGTATCGGTCAAAAACATGTTGGATAAAAAATAACGCAAACCAATAGTCACGTCCGTACCGAAAATTCCACTACGTATTCCGACTATGGAAAAAAAGAGGAATGGTGAAAAATTGTAAAGAGAATGTGACTGCATCGTTGAATAGTTCCGAATATTCTGCTTGCTAGTTTTAATAAAGAATCGTAATATAGTACAACGTATATCTTATTTAAAAAGAATCGGCAATAGACACTTACTGGAAACTGTAAAAAAAGACAGAAATATAGTAAACGGAAAGAAGAAAAGCAGTGACCGCATTGCGGGACGTTATCGTTTAAAATTTCGACAGATAGAACAGTAGAAGTTTGCATGAATTTGCCACGAATTAGTTCTCTGACAGATACCAGAACAAGAGAAAGAAAGTCTACGTATATACGCTATGACACAATTACGATACAACTGTCGTTTAATGGCAAGCATAGACGTCACGATTAGAATACGTTCAAATTTCCAGATTCCTAAAGTTACAACGTATAATCGATACCGCGACGATAGAATTTCGTCGACACGATTGTCGTAACGCAGGAATTCTGTCGTCGAGCGTTACGAGCTTGTTCGGGATTCGTGTTAACGGGGTGTTAACGTGAGTTAGCGACCCGTTCGCGACTATCTCGCGGCTCAACAACGTGTACGTAAACGTCATCTTTACGAGCCGGACTAGTGCCGTAATCTGATCGTTGCTCTCGTAAATACGCGTGCATGGAGGAAAAATAATTGAAAACCTCGCATGATCCCCTTCACGCGTATCCTCCATTCGAATTCTCAAAGTACCATTATGGTAGCGTTAAAAGGCCACATTCGACGATCATCTTGTTCCTTTCCTTGGCTGCGTAACGTCGATTTAAACGGCGAATAATCACGGTAAAGGGAAGAGGAGAGCAAAAAGAGGAAAAAAGAAAAAAAAAAGAAGCAAAGAGGGAGAGAACGAAGCGAGCCAAGATAGGTGCTCTCTCGCATCGCGATACCTTGGCCGACGTTTGCACTAAACACATAATTCCGGCTCGATTTAAAGTCACGCGAAAATTCACCGGCAGCCGTGTACACCGCGTGGTAGTCTTACCGGCTCGAAGCCGGTAAATTTTACGAGTTTGTCCAGAGGTTCGAGTTAACGGGGCGTTAACAAGGGCAATACTCGTGACTATCGCGCGTGCGAGCTCTCCTTTGCGGCTCTTTACGAGCTCGCGAACGATTCTTCGTACGAAACACCTTGCTACAATAGCAGCAGCAGCAGCAGCAGCAGCAACAACAACAACGACGACGACGACGACGAACGCGATGCCACGAACAGGAACAGCAAAAGGAATAATAACGAGAACAAGCAGCAGCGTTGGTATCTGTAATAATAATAGCGAGCCTGAGGTAACTAGATCCGGGTTGCTCGCGGAACCAAATGCAGCGGAATCCAACGACAACAATTCGCCGGGTTGTCGATTGTTTCGCGTATTATTCCGAATTTCGAACTTTTAGAAATATTCAAATTTCTATGCACGTAACGTGAATTTTCAAAAATAACGTGTTTCTGTTGTCGGCAATTTGTATCGACAATGGTTAAAATTCAATGGAATTTAGTAGCTACTTGAATTAACAGAGTGCTCGAGATGATTAATTTGTAATTTTTCATTGAGATATTATGCATTCGCTACGGTGCATGTTCGAGCATCTAAACGAATTTTCGTGAGACGATAGGTACATTTGTACCCTTCGTGAGGTATCTGTGAGCTTGCATACTCTAAAATTAACCATTTATTCGTATTTAAAGAGAAGGAGAATGGTACCGTACCAAGTTACGGAACGATGTCGTCTTGGTAGAATGTGTGTAACAGAGAATTACATGACTTTGCTTTGAATATTTGATCATCGTATTCTCCGGATATTGTCTCACCAGATTACCACCTGCTTCGCGTAGATACTACAACATTTTTTTGTCACAAAACGATTTATGATATTTTAACAGTTCTGCGAAGAAACATTGGCGAAGAGATACCAAGAGGTCGTTGAACGATGAAGCAATCACAATTTTTCACGGCATTCAAGGATATATTTCAACTATTGATCCAACTAAAACACTAATCAGATAT